TCCTGCTTCAGATATTCGTAATATTTTCTGTTTTTGCCATAAATATGTTTTTCAGATACACTTTTTGTCCTGCGGCTCTTCTGCACAGCTAACCTTTGTTCATTATTCATCTGTTTTTGTTTTTGACTCACTCTGTTGAGAATCTGACACTAAATCCTCAAAGAAGCATCAACCTCAAGTCTGATGTCTTTAAAACAAAACACATCCCTGCAAAAATCTATTCAAATCACTGACGTCATTTTTCTGTTGTAAAATCTTTCCAGTATTTTAACCATCTGCAGCAACAATCCTAAAAAAAAAGAAAAAAAAAAAGATACAAACTCTTGTCTCATTTGTCTTTCTGCCTTAGGTGACTCAGTACCTTATGGATAAGACTCTGACCATGGATGAGGACACGCTGTATGATCTCTCGCTCAAAATCGAGCCCAGACTGCCTGCCTGAATTATCTGTTTGAAGCTATTGAGAACCCACCGAACCTCTGAGGATGAAACACCCACCTGATCCTAATCCATCAAGAGAAAACTGGAAGGAAGTCATCAGAGCAATGTGGAAAGGAACGGGACAGGACTTGTGGAAAATGAGCTGTTTTGCAGAATAATGAGGTAGCATGAGAAGAGGACAGAGATGGGTAAGGTGCCTGAGCGATTGTTTTCAACAAGACCAAGATGAATGCGGGTCGAAGGTTTCCTTAGTACAGAGTGTGGTGCACACTACATCACTCTTCCTCCGAGAGCCTGAGAGTCAGAAAAAGAAGTGGATGAACATAACAGAGATGTAGCATAAACAGGTGGAGATACAGAGAGAGGTCTGAGCTTATGTCTCTGTGCCATGACTTGTGTTCTGTTGCTTATGCATTTCCATGCAAAGCCTCGTACAAAGATCCCTCTACAAAGCGCTTTCTGTCATGACGGTCACCACATTAAACTTGCATGATCTCATCTTAGGATGTGTCTGTTTGAACGGCCTTTGACCTGACCTCTGAACTCAGCATACAGCACTCCAACCAGACGGACTTTATTTGGCATCACGCATCCCGAGTGAGCTTAGCAGATTAAAATCAACTGCTCTCCTCAAATTCATTGTTAGACGACACACTGAAATAAAATTTCAGATTTCTTGCCGAAGATTTTCACATGCCGTAAAAAAAAAAAAAAAAATGGAGCCTATAATTATCTTTTATCTGTGTTTAGCCTCAGATTTATGTAATAAATGAAAAGCTATTTTTTTACTTATTGCCCAGATGAATGATACAAATTTAAGATATTTTCCAGTGCCTTCCACTTGTGTAGGTCAATTTCTGCATACTTGACAATTTGTCCAGTCACAGCTTTATATAACTCCTCAATGTTCTCTAAAAAATAATCTAAAATGGACTTTAATTTTAGTTTAAAACTTAGATAACATATGCTCCATGGTACTGTAGCATGTTGGTGTAAAGATAGGGAATGCAGCATTGAAAACATAAGCAAACATCGCCCTCTACTGTTTAATTGTTGTAACGAGCCCTGCCAGCCTAAACCATTGCAGCATCTGTGTGCAGTTATAATGTTTTGGCTTTTGCAAACTGTCAGCTGTGTGAATGTGTGTTTTCTGAGTGACCGCATGTTAGGCAGGGGCAGCTCTCTCTGAGATGTAGCTTTGCTTGACTGACGGTGGGATCGTTGTTTACACTTTAATTTATTTAGTACATTAAACTATATTTAATTTTTTTGTATATAGTGACTCCTCAGATATGCGACTGATAAGAGAAATTGTTATGCTGTGAATAACATTTTTATTGTTTTTCATTTATTTAATTTTAATCGACTAATTAAGTTTGTTTTGGTATTTATATTGAATTGTTGTTTTGCATCTCATGAACCTACAACAATGATGTATTCTGTAGATTGAAAAAAAAATGTAGCATTTGAATGAGCAGACTTTGTTTTTCATATTGATGATATGATAAATAGTGTTGCATGCACACAACAGCTGCATGCTGTGCATGTCTGACTGGATTTCTCCTGTACCTTCATCCGCTGCTTCTCTGTATGAAAATGTTCCGTGTAGGTGCTGAAGAAAATATATAAAAACAATATTTTGTCCAATTAAAACTGGCATGTTTGTCTCTTGTCAAGCCCAGTCTCAGGGCTGTCAGCCACAAAACAACCTGTTGTTAAACAGTGATGTGTTGAAGCTTTTTCTCATTTAACAATGCATCTCTGTAGCTCTGGATGTCTGTTTCACTCAAGGGGTTAGAAAAGCAGATTGCTGTATTTGTGTTGTAATTATTTATGTGTTATTTGTTTTTGTGTTACTTTATCTGTTTACATTTTTCACTTGTGGGTGCAGGGAAAATAAATACAACATGCCTTATGCATATTCTCTCTTTCAATTTAATGCACTGCAGCTTTGATCATATTCAGATAATGCTACTGCAGCGTTTACCTCGAACTGGTCCTATGTTCAGCCCACATGGAGCAAATTATGCACAACAGAATATGAGATTAAAAGATTATTTCTTGCGTATTGCACATTGTTGGCAGGAAGCTCAGAAATTATCCTAAAATAAGGCACCAGTGGCAAGATTCTCTACATTTAAATAAGAAGGAACATATTTAACCAGGATAATCTTTTAGTTTTCACCCAAAGTTTTTACAGAAAACACCACAATCATTGGGGAAAGAAAGAATGCCAAATATTTTTGCCTTGCAAATGAACAGCCACGTTTCCAGTAGAGAGGAAGTTTGTTAAAGAGAGCAAATGATTTTTAATTTTAACCAATAGTTATGTGTTTATGAGGTTTGAGATAGCACTTAATAATCAATATGTGATAGTATATCGATAGAATGATGTAGAATGATCAAAGAACAGAGTCCAAACTATTTGTGTGGCATACTAACGGCAACAAGATTTTATGTTTTCTGGCTTTAAAATGTGACAAACTTTAAATCAAAACTATTTTTTCTTCTGCTATAATGTGTGCGCACACATAACAGAGAACAACACAACATATTTTAGCCAAGCTGGATTATAATGCCAAGAAAGGCATGGTTACAAAATGTGAAAAAAAAAAAAAAAAAAATCAAATGCCTGAATTTTACTAGATATACATATCATTCTTGCTTTGTTTAAATTTATTTTTATACTACATCATTTTTTTTTACATCTCGCATAAAAAGTGGTTATACATTTTTTGTACAAACAATGCAATCCCCTTACTGTAGTTCCCTGTAAAGACATTTAAAAACTCATTGCATCTTTAAGTGCGAAGAAAACAATCCGTGCTCATTGGAGAAGCCGTTTGATTTCTCTAGCACACAGGCTACACAAAATGTAAGCATATTTAGTTAAATTAAGGCAGATACATGTTTAAGCTATTTCTGCATTAATAGCTAGTTCACTAAATTACAATATGTATCCAAACTGTTCATGGTTCTGATTAAATCCACTTGTGTTCTAATTCATTAACAACAGAGTCTAACTCAAACTGTCATGTTGCTACAATAATGTTTTCAATCGACTAAATACGTTTTTTTAAAACTACGAACAAATACTTTTTTTTTTTTTTATCTTGGTAAAGAATTGGTCCATTGTGATCTTTGGCAAGAAATTGAGTTAACAAGTCGGACATTTGCAGCCTAACAAAGAGGCATCCCAACCTGCAGACTCAAAGCAAACCCTTCGCTAAATGTCACAAATACTGATGTGCATCCCTGAAGATTATATAAGAAAACTAATTTTACATCCCTCAGTTCAGCTATGTTCAACAAGTTTACATCTTGCTTTACCACTTTGTTGCCTTTTTTTCCTCTTCGATAATTTTCTTGGTTTAAAAAGTGAAATATTTGCCTCCAAAATTAATTTAGAAAAGCTCTTATATTTTTTTTTTTTCAAGCTTCTGTTGATTTAATTGACTGGAAAAGACACCATAAAAAGAAACTGGAGGAGTTTACAGCTTAGGGAACTCCTCAGAGGTATATAAAAAATAGCTCTAAATGGCAAACAGCAATGATTCATTTAATTGATCCCCCTTGACTGATTTCCTCTGAACATTTTTAGCAGAGTCATTTCCCTAAAGCAAGACTTTATATTGAATAGTTACTGTCTTAATCTTTCAGTAACTGCCTTGTGGAAAGGGACACAGATGTGTGTGTGTGCTGTAGAAAACCGTCTGACAGGATCAGCAAGAGTAGACGATTCAAAAAAAACAAAAAAAAAACTTTTTACTAGTGATAAAGTTGAGAGCTTCAGCTTGCTTTTGTATAATCTGTTCAGTAATGAGTGCAGGGAAACTCGGTTCAAAGTCCAAACTGCAATACTCGCATCATGCTGTGCTTGTCTTGTGTTGTGATGGAATACAAAGAAGAACAGCTTTAAGTAAATAAAAGACCGGCATCACCTTCCCATGCATCTGAAGTTTGCATAATGTGATTTCCAGCTGAGCAAAAGGTTTATAAATCAACTCAGAGAACGACACTGGGTCCAGGTAAGCTTAATCAGGAGAAAGTGGAACAGCTGTGGAGGAGAGCAAAACAGGAAGATTGAGGGAAGGTCATAAAATAAACACAGAATTAGTTGAAACAGACAGGAAGCAAACTATAAACCAAGGGGTAAAAAGCTAGCACAAATAAACAAATAAATAAACAAAGAAATGATTGGAAAACTAACACAAAACCCAAACACCCGAGGGTTGTGTGTTTGCCAATTAAAGAATTAATATTTGCACTAAATAAGCATTTCCAATAACCGTCTTATCACACTAAATTGCCACAGGTCAGTTGTTTTGGAAAACAAAAATGAAAGTTTATTATAAATATAATGAATCCTAAAAGAGAAAGCATAAAGTGTTGTGTCTATACTTGGTGCACATTAGTTTATACAAACAGCACAAGTTTTCAGGTTGCCGGTAACCAGAGTAAGAGCAAGAACGCAGACATTATGAGTGACAGAGAAAAGAGGATTTTCTGTCTGACGGCCAGGCAGAGGCTAATCCTGGACCGGTAGCTTCGTCCGTTTCTGATCCCTTCACACTCTTCAGGCTGCACTCACTTTGCAGATCAAGCCTCTCTGAACTGAGCTCCAGGAAACTCTCCAGCCCTCTTCTGCCCTCCTCTTCTTTTCAGCTGAGCAAAGGCAAGTGATGAGATTTGTAATTAAACTTTTGATTGTTTGCTTCTGAAATCTGTCCTCATCCATGCCTTGTAGCCTAAAGTGGATCCATCTTCTCTTGGAGAGGTCCATAAGTCTCACAGTACAACTGAAAAACGTGACTTTATCTTTTAAAACATGCACAGTATAAAATTGGATCATCATTTTACTTCTATTTATTCATGAACTGTGGTCATTTGCAGGGTCATTTCAGATAAAAGCTTAATATTCTTATATTACACAGCACTCAACATGACTGCGCTCTGTCATTCAGCTAAAAGTAGCCCATTGGATGAACATTTGCAGTCCAGTCGCACACAGCAGACAATTGTATTAGAGTTTTTAAGCTGCCTACTGTTCACAAGTGTCAGCCATCTGTTGGCTACTATTGTCTTAAAAGCATTCTTTCTCAAACCTCCAGTTCTGTTACTTACACTTACTGTATGTGGTTCAACATAAAAATGTCTACAACTAATCGATTTAAAAGTAAATGACTGTAATGTTGCCTTTTAACATTTAAACAGAGGTCACAGGTTTACTTTTCTCTCCTCATGTAACCTTCAAATCTGGGATGAAAATCCCAACTAATCCCCCTTTTTATAATCTCTTTAAGGGGGGCATTTTACTTCATTTGACCTTCGTGTGACTCTTAGCGCACTTTATGCTGACCTCTGACCCACTATATGCCTTCAGTCTTCTTACTTTCCTTTTTTTCTGTTTTCTCTGTGACAAATTGAGGCTCATTTACTTTTTTGTGCTTCCAAAATTGTCCATACTGTTTGTTCACAGCTTCATATTATTGTTCTCTTCATCTTTCTCTCTGATCTAATCTGGTAACTGTTTAACTCCACCTCCACCTGTCCACTCACTGTATCACTTTCTTTTCTTCCGGCTTGTCTTTCATAAGCGTAGCTGGCCATCTAAAACGGTTCAGGCAGTGCGCAGGCCTGATTCCAAATCTAAGGCAGCACTTTGTCATGACTGAATATCAAAAACTGTGAATAAGTTAGTATAATTCCGACCGTGCTGCAAACTTTCACGTTTTGCAGTTGTGTTATTCTGTTATTCATTTTGTTTTATCTAAAACAGCAGCCCCTCTCTCAGTATCCAATCACAAATCAACTGATCAGCTGAGCTGGAGACTTTCTCAGGGTGGCCAATCAGGGAGCTTCTGTCTGCTTCAGGAATAATCTCATCATGCAGGCTGTATCTGCCACCTAAACATCTGATAGCCTAATGCAATTAGGAGTTTTGTCAACCTGAAAAGATATATGTGAATGAAACGAAATGACATTAACATCTTCCACTCAAACACAAAAATAATTTATAATAAAACTGATTTTGAATTTTAACTCAAATATTTTTTTTTATCTTTTAAGCAGTTATTATGAGAGTCTTTTGGTGATATAATTTATGTCCTACTGCTTTTACTAGATGTGTAAATATCATTTGTACTTTTTTAATGCACTACATTAATTTCACATTTATTTGTTTGGGGGAAAAAAAATCCAAAATCATCAGTTCCACATTTACTGGCCTTATTGTGCATATTTTATGGTTTTTTTTGTTTTGTTTTTTTTGTTTTTTTTGTTTGTTTTTTACTTACACACAATTTTGTAGAAACACTGCAGTTGTCAATTGCTAAGCCTGTGTACAGTCTGTTTCCAATTATCTGTTTACTCATTGTCTGTGACCTTTGTGCACATTTCAAGCAAATAAACAAGCAAACACTACGCCTGACATTTACAGAGAACAAGTCAGATATTTCACCTAAAGCAGTTGGGATGGATAATTACAGGATTCCAAATTGCTCAAGGATCTAATGTTTAATTTATGTTATTACTTGATAGTTTAATTTAACTTTTATGCTGTAAAGTTTGCAAAACGTCACATTGACCTTTTATTTCTTCACCAGGAAATACCTTGACCAAATAACGATGGCGAACTCTTTCACCCGCATGATGACCGGTCGTAACACAGCAGTGATGATGGCCATGGGAGCCGGCACTTTGGCATCCGCATTTCTCCTCACTGATAACACTGCTGCAGCTGAGAGGAGGAGGTTCTATCCCCCAAGGTGCATTTCTGGAAGAGTGTCAAAAACGAATCTGGATTTAGCAGACTGAGGTCAACTAGATAGTTATAGCCTCACATTTTAGCACATATTGGAGACTCTGACTAATTAACGGTAAAGGTAAACATCTTTGTACAGCATTTATTTATGTTTTCCAAACAACTACTGATTTCATTTGTCTTTTCTATGTTGGCTCTTTTAGTCAAGGAAACTGTATTTTCTCAAAATTATACCTAATCAATTGCTGATTAATTCCCACAGTGCTGATTACCCTGATCTGAGGAAGCACAACAACTGCATGGCATCAGCAATGACCCCGACCATTTATGCTCGTCTGAGGGACAAGGCGACGCCCAACAACTGGACCCTGGATCAGTGCATCCAGACTGGGGTGGACAACCCCGGACACCCCTTCATTAAAACTGTGGGCATGGTGGCTGGGGACGAAGAAAGCTACGAGGTCGGACATTGTATCCAAACCATTCTTTGCTTTCAGTATCATTCTAAAAGTTTTGTGAAGATAAAGTGTTTTTTTTTTTGTTGTTGTTTTTTTTAATCAGGTGTTTGCGGAGCTCTTTGATCCTGTTATTAAGGACAGACACAATGGATATGACCCTCGTACCATGAAGCACCCCACTGATCTGGAGTCTTCCAAGGTGACATTTATATTTTTTTTTCATTATTTAGCATAAACATATACAAACAGAGGCTGTGTTTATACTACAAATGTGTGAAAATCTTTGTCTGCATTCTACTGTCGCAAAAACACAACTGCTATTAAGAAATTAAATTAAAATAACCTGCGAATAAGCTTGTTCATGCGATAAGTCATTTAAAATCATGTCAGAGATGGATGTGAACAGTTACATGAGATAAATTCCTATTTCAGCCAGCTCATCATCTACCAGCCATCAGGAAAGATTTCAGCATCTTATCCAGGCGTTGAAGTGACAAGCCCCTTAAACTTGGGAGCGGATATGTCAACGCTATTTTGGCTATTTTACAGAAGACCAATGGATTCAACACGTTTGAATGACACAACTTTTTATAAACTGTGTGATGCTGTTTGATTTCTGGTGGAGCCAGACGCACTTTGTCCAAAAAGCCCCCAACACACACCTCTTCCTCATACTACTTCCTGTAGTATTCTTCGTGGTTTCCGCCTTTAACGTCCGGCTGCTGATCACATGACTCCTGTGATGCGGAAATATTTTTTTTTCCATTACCGTTTTTGTAAAATACATCGATTTTGATATGGCTGGAAAAACCACTTCATTCTAGTGCAAAAAACATATCAGCGAAAATCATGAGTTTTTTTTTTCTTTCGTTCGTCTTTCGTTAAATTGGCATGTTGCCATTAAGCAAACTTATTTTCGTAATTTCAATTTGCGCAATTTCGTGGTCGGTAAAGTGTAATTGTGCTTTCTCAGGTCACCTCGGGAATGTTTGACGAGCGCTTCGTGTTGTCGTCCCGTGTGCGCACCGGGCGCAGCATTCGCGGACTGAGCCTCCCACCTGCGTGCACACGGTCCGAGCGCCGCGAGGTGGAGCGTGTGGTTGTCACAGCCCTTTCTGGCCTGAAAGGAGAACTGGCCGGCCGATACTACAGCCTGGGAGAGATGACTGAGAAACAGCAACAGCAGCTTATCGACGTCAGTACCCAAACAGGGCAATGCTGCTCTTTCTTCTGCTGTTGATGCTGTCTAATCCCCCCGCCAATTATTCTGTCTCTTCACTGGCCAATCAGGAGCACTTCCTGTTTGATAAGCCTGTATCACCTTTGCTCACGGCAGCTGGAATGGCCAGAGACTGGCCTGATGCTCGTGGTATCTGGTAAGCAAAAAGCAACAGAGTGTAGAGGAAGTTCCACTTTTAAGCTCAGAGTGTCTGTGAAGCCTGAGGAGACTGCATCAGTGTTGGAGAAGCTCAGTTAGTGACCTTCTAGCTCTGTAAAGGGATTGTATTTACTTTTTACACTTGTTAATACAGAAAACAATCTGATATATTTAGTCTTATCTCAGTCAATACCTGTATGTTGGCCCCATATGGACTGATACTAAGTTGGCCATGAATTCACAATTGTTGGCTTATTCATAAATAAGCCAACAACATTTAGGCACTCTAGTTAATATGTTTAATATTTAGATAATTTGTTTAATTTACGGAGTACATCTAGAACACCATGTGGGTCTGTCCATCTTTTTACACAGCGATTTTCTGCTTTGAACCTATAAAGGCGAATAATGCAGCACATATTATGTAATCTATGGACAGTCACAATGTTTCTAGAATAAGAATATACAATAATACAAGTACTAATCATTATCATCATAGTATTTAGCAAAATCATTTCCCTTTTGAAAACGCATCTAATTCCTATTTGAAATTTTAGCATAATAAAACAATATTTTGGCTAGAGACAAGTATGACTGTAGAGTCTTCCTTGAAAAAAGTAGTAATGTGTCAAAACAATCTACACAGGATACTGAAGTAGTTTTGCCACTAAAGGTTACTTTCAGTCAGCCCTAGTGGGCCCCGTACAAGGAGCCCATATTGTAAACCAAACTGAATGATAGGAAGAACAACAAGTAGTAGATTTGGTACATTGAGTCTTTGCTTCTGAAATATTTAAAGCACTTGTTCTGAACTGGTCTTTTTAAATTTAGTCACTTATATACAAGTATTAACCATAACATGCAGAGTAATCAGTAACCAGCATTTTTACCAGAGTATGTTGCTGTTTTTATACAAAATAGATTAAATAAAAAAGGACAACTGGAAAGACAATAAAACAATCCTTCACTTTATGTAGCTTTTGCTGATCCTCTTTTCACTAAGAACCTCTGCAGTATAGAAAAAGAACTGTTTCTTCAGTGTTTTTTTTTTTTATTCACAGCGTGAAAAATATTAATAAAGATAAAGTGCAACGCTACATCAATCATTAAGTAGTAAGTTTTCTTCTGGCCACCTACAAGTAGCTAATTACTGAAAAATGTTGCACTTTAAAAAAAATTAAGCTGTATTAAGTTCAATCTTGGGTGCAACACCAGAACTGAGAAAGGATTACTTTCATAGCCCCAACAACAGACTGTCTTCATTTCATAGCAATGTGATCAGTTATGAGTTTATTCAGAATGAGCATGAATCCAGTCATCCTCCCCTCTGGTTTCTCAATTAGAATATGTACAAACAAACAATGTGTGTCCTTTTACGTGGCGCACAACATTTGATGTGGACTTGCATTATAAGACCAAAATGTACAGAGAGGAGTGTGGTTAGATGAGACTCCATTGGGCTTTGTTTTACCCAGACAAAGACCAGTGATCCACTGAAAACGGGTTATGGTCTACATACAACCATTTTCTCATTTAAAGTCTTCTTGTGGGTTTCTCCTTCTTCGTCATAGCTCAACCTCAAGAGCTTTCTTGTTTTTAAGCATGATTTGATTTTGAATGAAAGGCAATTTGTTTAACTCAACGTGACTGAATTTTTTTGACATCTATAACTTGATATTTCTTATTTGGTTCAGGCACAACAATGAGAAGAACTTCTTGATCTGGATTAACGAGGAGGACCACACGAGGGTCATATCCATGGAGAAGGGAGGAAATATGAAGCGAGTGTTTGAGAGGTTCTGCAAAGGTCTCAAACAGGTCTGACAACAGATTCAGTTCTTTTCACAGACTATTTTTCAAACATAACACCTGCTTTTTTAAAATCTGTTAGTCAGTGTCAAATTCCCAATTTTCTGAAGACTCATTACTAAATTTTGTTCATTTATTTTTGTAACATTTAGGTGGAGCATCTTATTCAAGAAAGAGGGTGGGAGTTCATGTGGAACGAACGTGTGGGATACATCCTGACCTGCCCGTCTAACCTGGGCACTGGGCTCAGAGCAGGAGTTCATATCCGCCTGCCGTTTCTCAGCAAGGTTAGACAAGAATTACATCAGCAAATGCAATGGCTTATTCTTCCCCATTTTCTGTTGCTTTAGTACCTAAAGATTATTTCTGTTATTGCTTATTTATTTTGAATATGCAAAAACTACCCAGCTTCACACTTGTTGCATAATAACACACATCTCACAATAGCAAATCAAAATTAAAGGAAGCACAATAACTATAAAACATCAAAACCAAGGAAAAACAGCTGGAATAATCAGAAAGAAGTGAGCAGAAGCACAGCTTATTGTCCCCCACCCCTTTGTTCAGCAAAGAATAATTACACACAGCCATATGAACACATTTTTTTCACTTGCATACACATAGATACATATTGACACATATACTTACATAACAAACCAACACATATATATTTATACCTCTACAAATACGTGGCTTCCCTATCATCACCACCTCCATTTGTGATGAACAGGCTTATCCATTATGTTTCTAACAACTTAAACTGTCTGATATTTTGATTTTGTGCTGGTTTAAACCAGGATCCCCGCTTCAAAAAGATACTGGAGAACCTGAGACTACAGAAGCGAGGCACAGGAGGAGTGGACACGGCTGCCACTGGAGACACCTTTGACATCTCTAACCTCGACCGTCTGGGCAAGTCAGAGGTAAACAAGGGAGTGGAGGGAGGTGGTGGTGGGTGGGAAGAAAAAAAACGCCTAAATAGTCAAAATAAAGTTGAACAGCAGACAAAGAGTGGCAGAGTCCGACTGAGGAGATCAGATATACGGACCACAGCAGGTGTGGGCTGGGAATAACCCTACCTGCTGGCTCTTAAGCTCTAATCCTGGCAGGGAAGTGTTATGTGAGGTTATAGACTGCTTTTTCCTTTGCTCAGTCGGTCGCACAGGGTCTCCAAATAGACTGTGTGGCAGCAGACTTTACTGATTAAATGCTAGAAAAACCGATAAATGTGTAAGGTCAGGCCTTTCTCTACTGGCCTATCTCAGAAAACACAGAGGAAGTCTGATTTGAGAGAACAAAAGACTGCAAATGTAATATTCCCCTAACTCCTTATTGAAGAACCTGCTATACTTATGTGCAAAATGGTTTACAGTACACCAAGTATTTTCCACTCATGGTGGAAGAAGCCTGACTGGTTTATGACAGAGTGCACATGAAACATGATTTCTTGCATTTTAGCGTTTTGCAGACGATGCCGAGATTCTACACTTAAGGATAGTTTAACAGAAAGCAGTAACATTGGTAAGGGTCAAAACAGCAATTTATTAGAAATTACATAACAAAAAGTCCAATGTCACTTCTTTTTATTATTAATCCTGACAAGGAATAGTTATCCAAAAAGTAAATTGAATCCACATAGTCATGAACCTCATACCAAACATCTGTATTACTATTAATAAAAAAATAATCCTTATAACTTACAGCTTTTGAGGATAAACACCTTCTGAAGATCCTCTCTACGATTCCTCCGCAGGTTGAGCTGGTACAGTTAGTGATTGACGGTGTCAACTATCTCATTGAGTGTGAGAAGAGGCTTGAGAGAGGTCAGGACATCAAGATCCCTTCCCCAATCGCTCAGTTCAAGAGGTAAACGTTTCCTCCGTTGCCAGCATTGAGGAAGAACATTTGCTTCAGTGGCTCATTATTTAATCTTCTGATATTCATGACATGTATAAACTATGTGCTGACTTTCATGCACAGTACAGCTGCTACATGTACGTGGATTCTGATAAAAAAATAAAATACAATTTTAAAAATGAACAGAATTGTTATGTCTGCTTTTGCTTTATAAATGTGGGTTGGATAACCCTCAAATAATTTCTGTTTCTGTTTGTTGGTTGTTCCACTAAATATTGATTTCTGAACTCTTCCTGAGTTGAAACGTTAATATTGTTGTTTCTAAATGAATATGAACTTGTTTTCTTGGCATTATTTTAAGTCTAAAAGCTCTGCATCCTTTTTGTTATTTTAATCATTTTTCTTTTTCTGCAAATCAATATAACATTTTTGCTTGGAATTTCTAAAACATGTTATCAGTAGTTCATAGAATAAAAGAACAATGTTCAATTTTCTCAAACATATACCTATAAAAAGTAAAATCAGAGAAACTGATCATTTTAAGTGGTATCTTATTTTTTTTCAGAGCTATATCTAAATAATATTGAATTATTTGAAAAATGTATCGAATTGGACTGATTTATTTTCATACCTATTTTATTTAAAGAACAGAGCACAGACTGTCCATCTTTGTCAACTTCTAACAGTTTGCCTATAAGTCCCTCTTTGAGAAAAAAAGAAAATATTAGTCAGACCATTATTGGTCCTGGGGAGCATGTGGCTGCCCTGGCATTCAGCCCTCACCTCCACAATACATTTAATCCGGGAGTAAAAGGCCAAGCTCATTAACTGACGGAGAAACAGAAGACAGGTCCAACAGAGGTAGACTAATAAACACTTCCTGCTCTATGTTGTTTACAGGCTTACAACAGAAGACCAGGGAGGATATTGCTTGGTGAATAAAGGCACCATGCCAAGAGAAATTAATGTTTTAATTACTTAAGAAAACAGTCCTTTGATATCGTGCTGCTAAACCAGCATTTCTGAATCTGCCTTCTTTTTCTGGCAGCAGATTAATGACGCACAGTAGAGCTATTAATGCTATTAGAGAGCCAAAGCAAACGGCTAACAAAAGTGAGTATATTAGGAATCATTGCTGCAATTGATAGAGCCTAGATGATGCATAATATATTTTATAGAAGATCCGATCTGATTTCCTGTCCATAAAAAGACTTTACTGATAAAAAAAAATGGCTTAACGTTTAGTCTGTTTTTAATGTGATGAAGAAGTGATTAAAAAACGATCAGCTATTTTTTTTTTCCTCTTTTACCCATTGGATGTGCTGCATGGTTACTTCATTTACTCACAGCATCATCACCTGTTGAGTAAATAACTGCACCAATTGAAATAATAAAAAATGTTTCTACTGTGACATTCCTTTAAAAATGTACTGTTCATGGAGTAACTGAGGTTGGCCATTTTGAATTGTTTCATATTCTATACTTTAAAATGTTACCGTTTAAACACATCTACTGATTCACCTGGAATATCGTTAGTAGTGATGTTCCTGGAATCACTGGGACTTTCAAGTTTCATTGTCTGACATGCTCAGTGCCTCCCAACCAGCTGCGTACTCTGAGAGGTTAACCGGCTTTCCATCCAGCGGATGCAGAGATTCCTAAACCTGCAGAGTCTTAACGTGAACAGAATCTATAGAAAATCTAATTAGACTCGTCTGGCTGCTGACGACCTTCACCCAGAAGTCGTGCCCCGCTTAAGGCTACGAATTAGTCAGGCTGAGTAGCCTTGCAGCCGACTAGGATCCACAGACCACACCTGGTCGCTCTTCCTTTAATTTAAAACTTGCTCTTAGCTAGATTTTGTTTAGTGACTCAAATGGAGCCCCAGTGATTCAGTTTACTAACTTCAGGATTAAGGCTTAAACTTTAAACAGCTCCTATAAATTCATGAATCAAGCAGCAAGACAATTTGAAGAGCTTAAGATAAAAGTGACTCAAGTTATGAATACCCTTTAAGATATTTTTATGCTTCCTAAATTAGTAAGGCTTTGCAGGGGTTAATAACAGCATAATAACAGATCTTGTGCATAATGTCAGAAGCCCAAAGTCTCCTTCCTTCTGAGTGGGTAATAACTATTGATAACAATAATAAGTGCTAAGTAATGACTGATTGGGGATTATTTTTCACCTAACATGCATATTATGAAGCAGCTTATTATTGGGTGATATTTGTTAAAATCATGTGCTGCCACAATAGGTGGATCAGTTTTCTGAAGAGGGATTGACATTACTTTTCTGAATCGTCCTTCAACTGAAAAAACCTGAAAAAAAAAAGCTAATCAAAGTTTGTCTGGTGAACAACAACTTTACCAGATGTTTCTGTAGATTTACAGTTTTAAAAAGGAGATTATGTTTATTTTAAAGAATACTACCTCGATATTACATAGAACCTGGCGCCAAAAATAATTTAGTTAATTTGGTTGATGTTGACTTACCTAAGATGAAAAAGCTAATTATTTTTGGGAAAATAGATACATTTTAAAAAGCAAAGCAGCAGAGGGCAGTAGAGGAGAAATTAAATTTGGAATCAACAGCTTCTTGCGAAAGTACCAAAGTTAACAGACTGTTTTTAATCATTATATTTTTTTAATTATTCAATAAAACAGTGTAAAAACAAGTTGAAGTGCTCATATCTCACATTGGCAGATAGCCTCTATAGAATCTGTTCTAATGACACATTTCCTTGAAACTAATTAATGACTGTGTCTTATCTTATTCACATCCATCGCATTGTTACATAAAAAACTAATTGACTTCGATTGACACCTAAACGTGTAGGAAACAAACAGTTAGACTTGTCCTTTTCAAATTCACAAGCTTTCCTACTAGAAGTACGGATTTTTTATAACTACAAAAACAAACAGCTTAAATGCCCGTTACTGAATAACACAGCTACTTTAACTAGTCTTGAAGAAACTGGGCTAGCAAATTAGGATCTTGGTACACTTGAACATTAAAGAGGCTAGTTTGATTAAACTAAAAGTAACTTTTGAAAATTACTTTTAGGCGGGTATTCAATCAATCAATCAATCAAATTTTATTTGTATAGCACATTTCAGCAGCAAGGCATTTCAAAGTGCTTTACATAATTAAAATGCAAACAGCATGTGACAGAATAAACAGTGCCCAAAAACATGTTTGGGCAAAACATGTTTTTATTTGGCTCACATAATGTGTTTCACTTCCTGAACTGATTTGAGATGAACTGACTTTTCAGTAATATTCTAATTCGCTGACATTCAACTGTACGAATAATAATAATAAAAAAACTCAAATTTACAGTTTTGTGAAATGAAGAGTCGGGTGAAAATGTTTGTGATGTGCTAAGCATCCAGGTCTAAGCAGACATGAGACATAATTATATGTGTGTTTCGCTCAAGTCCTGCTTTAATTCTGCGATGTTTATGGTCTGAAAGAAAGAAAATTGATGTTGCTTTTGCCTGGAGTGGTATTAATAGCTAAATTGGATGTCTTGACTTTATAGCAGTGTGTAAAACCTTGAAAAAAGAAAAATGTGCCAATTTCTTTTGGCTTCACTATGATACTTTTGCATGATGGAGCAAAAACAAGATTTTTTTAATTACAGGGTTTCACATGAAGTTGTTAGGAATAAAGCATTTTAGCTATCCAACAACATTTTGATCAAACAGAGTAACATTACCACTGTACTGGGAGGAAAGTACTGGTCAAGTCTGACAGATGGTCACATGACTGAGTCATCATAACACATTCATTTCTCCAATTAGCTTCTTGGTAGAAACAATCAGAAACTGTATTTCACTCAGTGGCATCCAGGTTGCGTCTTGTACTCTAATGGAGGCTGAAAATTGTAACAGATCAAGTGAAAAAAAAAGACATCCGCTGGTTAATTGAATCATTGCAGGCTGAGCAGGTTTGAGATTAATTCCACGTAAGGAAAAGATCAAAAGCGTCCCAGTAAGAAGGACGTTGATGGAAACAGGAGCACTGAGGCTTGTGGGATAATCCCATTAAGAGCTGTACGTTCATTCAGACTGAAAATGATTTGCTGTGCAGTGGCTATGGAAGACACTTGGTTTTAAACTGGAGAGAAAAACAAATAATTTCACTGAATTAAAACAATACAGTGTGTTATTCTTAGCTCTCTTTAATTATGGCTATGAGCACTGACCAACTGCAGTGGAAATGATTTCAGAGGCAGTCTCTGGAACTGATTGGATTATAAAATACAAGAAAAAAAATAATGTGTCATTGCTTAATACTGATCTCAAAGAACCTATTTTTAAATGCATATTAATAAATACATTGAAGATTGTGAACCAAAGTGTTACTGGGATAGTCTTCTGTATTGTAAACTGTAATGGAGAATTTGTTCACAAGCGTGTTAACACAGGTGAATAAGTGCTGAATTATATTTGATTACAAGAAGAATTCATTAGTTAGAGATTGAAGTTCATTTAAAAATAGGAGAAACCTTAAAATATCCTGAGGAAAGTCAGTCGCTAAACAAAGAAAGGGGTAACAAAAAAACCTATGGAAGTCCATTTTCACCACTGGGATTCAATCTGTATTGATGCCGGAGCTCACTGTGTCTGCTATGCTGCAATGTAACAGTTTAACAAACAAATAAAAAGTGAGTTACCCACAATACACTCTATCAGTTGTAATATTTTCAGAAGTAGATTGTTTCAGTGTATGAAGGATCTAACAAAAACTGGTTGCTGATCGACCACGGAATCATCAGAGAACATATTCATGAAAATTTGCTTGATAATTTGTGTTTATATGAGTCCAAGCACAAAATACTAAGCACAGATGAAATAAAGTTAGTCACAAAAGATTCTTGGTATTTTTTGTAAGAGAAATGAAGCCTGTGAAAAATGTGACGTTTGACTTCTTGATGTTCAAAAAGATTTAAGTTCCCACATCAGTCTAAAATGTTTAGTCTTTCATCATCCAGTGGGTCAAAGCTAACAGCAACAATAAAAACAATGTTTTTGTGAAAGTTTGTTCCTTCCCTAAATCTACTATAAAACTAATTCCACAATAAGAGGTTGCATAGAAAAGGAACATTTAATTTTAAAGAACATTTTGTGACTAGTGATTAGTTTTTGTCTCTAGTTCTGAGCCAATTTGGATCTCAA